AAAGGCATGACAATGTGAAGAGAGGTGAGTTTGCTGCAGGGCATTAGGTGGAGGTTTAGGTCCTTTTGGGTAAACACTTGGTCAAAGCCCCAAGTATTGAGGTGTCCTTCCTGATTCCTGAGGCATGGACAGGACCAAAAAATTCAGAAATATTCATAGAATTGATTTGAATAAGGATTATAAAAATTAATGAGGTGCTATGTGAAAATTTTGTTCAGGGTTCGCTTTTCATCCCAACAAGTCATAGTGAGCCAAAATGGTAGCTAGAAGGTGATCAATGCTTCTACATCTAGAAGGTTGGGACTGGGAGAGGCTATGAGAAGTAGTATTATATGTTATCCATTGCATTCAGTTCTAGGCTTAGACAAGTTTTACAATTCCTCAGGAGAAGTGCTCTTTTAAGAGAATGGATGAGTGAGTCGACTTGGCCTTTGAGAGAGAATGTTGTTTGGAGTCATAGATGATAGTTCAAAGAGTGATACAGCTTGACTGATGCAATGATTAACATGTAATTAATCTTGTTCATGGTTTACATCATACCTAGAGAGCCCACAGGCTTAGTGCTCGCACTATTTGGCCTGGCAGTAGTCTAGGCGCCAAGCCTTTTCAGAGAACTGGCAGAACTGAAAGCTGACTGCTGATTTGATGGGATCCAATCAACCTGCCTTCTATCCAAGGACAAGAGAGAGGAAAACCAAATGAAATTGTTAGGTTGCCAAGTATTAAAAATAGTCAGGTTATTGCTATTGGCTAAATAATTAGTGATTTTTTGACTTCTAGCACTACTTCCATAATTGCTATCCACCCTGGTTGAAGTTTGAGCTGACATCTGTGTAACTTGAGCATTTGACATCTATCACTTATTGCACCAATATACATGAGCTTGTCTGCTCATTTTCAGACTACTCTTAAGTAAGAACTAAAACCGGTTGTGGTCTTGTTACTTGATTCAAATTCATTTGTGTTAGTACAACTTTATGCTTTTAGGATTACTGACCTCATTTTACTCAAAATATAGGCACAAGACAAGACTACATATTGGACAGTTGGTTAAAGATACGTCAGCAAAACTGAAGCTTGCTAGTGAAACAGACCATCGAGTTGAAGTCAGTGTAAGTGTACTATAAGTCTGTGAGTCTCTTATTCATGTTGGGACCAACTTTGTATCTTTCCCTTCCTTCCTACATTCATTCTACTCCGCAGACATTCTCTTTATTTGTATCTGCACTGATGTAAAATGCTAAAGTGACAATCTTCTCTGAGCCTCACTATATGCTTCTCTTTTCATATCTTCTCTAGTATGGTTGCATTTGATTGTTCGTCCTTGGGCTCATGTCGATCATATATATGAGATGCTTTTCATATATTAATGACCATTTGTCTCTTTTGAGAGTAAAACTTTGGACATTATTGATTTATTCTTTTTGTCCATTGCTTCCTTATTCCCTCCATCCTTTTCTTTTCTCTTAGTGCTGTCTGTATTTGTTTGTTGCACTGAAGTGCTTGTCCACTTGCAGGCCAGCAAGAAAATTACAGATGCTAAACTTGCTAAAGATTTCCAGGTAGTACTAAAAGAGTTTCAGAAAGCTCAACGGCTTGCAGCTGAGAGGGAGACAGCATATACACCTTTTGTTCCCCAAGCAGTTCTACCTTCTAGGTAATCACTAAGGAAAGTACGAAGTTGTATGAATTCATTGTTGAAAGATCTTCCGTCTGGAGGAAAATCTGCAGTATGCTAACTATATAATGTTCCTCGTTTTATATAATTTGTGCAACCTGTTTAGAAGTTGGATTAGTTTTTATCAAAGTAGTGATTATACTCAATATTAGGTCTATTTTCTCTGTTGCTTGGCTTTCTGAAATCGTGGTATTGCATCAGCAGCTACACAGCCAGTGAGATAGATGCAAGTTCAGACAAGAGTCCAGAACAGCGAGCTCTCCTTGTAGAATCTAGAAGGTGTGCATGTCGACACTGCACTTGCTAAATAACTAAGTATATCAAGAGGATTAGCATATGTCTTAGTTTTGTAGCTGCTGCAGACAGGAGGTTCTATTTTTAGATAATGAGATTGCCTTCAATAAGGCTATAGTAGAGGAAAGAGAACAGGGTATACAAGAAATACAGCAACAAATTGGTGAAGTGAATGAGATCTTTAAAGATCTTGCGGTGCTGGTTCACGAACAGGGAACTATGATTGGTAAATTCATGTAGATTATTGATAGTCGTATTCTGATCTTTTTGGTGAAATATTAGCTAATTGTTGGGCATTATTTGCAGACGATATTGGTTCCAATGTTGAGAACGCTCATGCTGCAACTGCACAGGGCAAATCACAACTTGCCAAGGCGGCAAAAACCCAAAAATCGAACACATCTCTGGTAATATTATATAAGCTTTGTACCTTTTTTCCATTCCGTGTTGACTCTAAAAAGTTATGTAAACTACCAACTACATCTGTTTATTTTACAGTAGACACATGTTTCATCCATATTAAAGGGAATGGCTGGGTTTTCAAGTTGAATTTCTTTTGCCTTTGTTATCTACACAAATGAAAGTTCAAAAATAATTCTTCCCAGATTTAGTTTTATGTCTGCGCTTGGTGTGCTCCAATGAGAATGATTTCCATCAACTTCATTTTTCATAAAAAATATCACTGTATTAAGGCCATTGATACCACTTCTTGCTTCTTTTCAATATATTTTGTGTTACATTTTTTACTTTAATCTTATTCCTCTTTGTTTTCTACAAATTGCAGACATGCTTGCTGCTGGTGATTTTTGGTATTGTGCTCCTAATTGTGATCATAGTCCTTGCTGCATAGTAGGAAAAAGTTTTGAGCACTATTGCATACAGAACTTAGGGCTGTATGACGATGGAAATGATCTTGTCGAACGTGTCATCAAAGTTGTTCTGAGAGGCATTTTGGCCGATTGGTGATGGTGCTGAAATCAGGTTACTGACAAGATTAGTGGCGAGGATTTCATACTAAGCTTTTAGTTCTTTGGTGGTGGTTGGTGCTGTAAATTGTAAATTGGTGTTTGGGTTTGTGGTTTTTCTGTTCGGTCTTGTAATAAAGCTTTTATCAAATATAAAACTGATTTTTTGATTAGGTGATTATAGGTCTAAATTGTGTGCAAGTTTGTGTTGGATGGGCACCTTGCTTGGAAGCTATTCTTTGGGTTAATGGGCTTTTCTAATTGAGTGTAGTTTTCCACTTATTGGGTCATAGACGAGACGGCTGTAACTTAAGGGAGAAGATCCCAGAACTAAAAGCCCAGGGTACGCTTCTCCTTCGCCAGCGAATAGGGCGGCATGTCGGGGTGAAGGGGTCGGCTCACTAGTGGTAGAACCGGTGCTTGACCTGTTTTTTCACTTATAACAAAGGACTTCCTCATGAACTCTTTAAGCTCGTTTCTTAGGCCTCCCAAGCCTAAGTTCACTTAAAAGATAATGAGAGGAAGTTAGGAGTCAGAATAAGAGGAGAAAAAAATGTTGATGATTGCATACCGGTACGTTAAAAATTCCACTACTAAAGAACTCCTATTAGCTCATTTGTGCTCCTTACTCAAGGATTACTCACTAAAGGAAAAGGAAGAGCTACAGCGAGTTCTGACATTAGGAGATTCTTTGAGAGTTGAATAGGTGCGCCGGTTATCGCTAAGTAAGCTTAGCTTGTACCTTCCTAACGGAACAAAGCGGATCGCTGCAATTGGAAGGGTTCCCAACCCTTCCTACTGCTTAACCACGTCTAGTGGTCTGTTTTCTTTTTTTTGACGTATATAAAATGGATATTTGGATAATGTTTGGCTAACATTTCATTTTTCTTTTTGCTTTATCTTGAACATTGCTTCGGAGTCGACAGTCCGTGGATGCTAATTTGTATATGTTTGTGGCTAAACACTTTAGGCTATCACTGGAGTACATAGAACAAGTTTCCAAATTTGTAGTATTGGCAACCTCCAATCTCTTTGCAGTTGCCGGTAATAACAAAGTGCAATTTGCTACTCTTAAAGTCATTATTGCACCTGGTTAGGGGCAAAGTTGATATTTACGTGGAGGAAAAAATGCGGCATTGATGACTGGCTTATACCGCATAGATAGTCAACTTCTGCTTTTGCTGTTAATCTGAAATTGGTTTCCTTATTTTGTGGCAGGCAATATACGTAAGCTGAGTGAAATCATATACTTGGTAACTGGTTAATGATTTGAGTATAGGTATGGATTCAGTCCGTCAATCTGAAATTGGTTTCCTTATTTTGTGGCAGGCAATATACGTAAGCTGAGTGAAATCATATAATTGGTTAATGATTTGAGTATAGGTATGGATTCAGTCCGTCCTGTAATCTCTTCAGAAACTCTGAACTTCCTTGGATAGCAAATGCTGATACCATTTCTTCAATTAGAACTTGAAATAGGTCTATGCTTGAGCCCTGCTTGGAAAAGTACGACCTTAATTCAAAACAAGATCTAAAATAAATGCCCAGTATTAGCTAGTAGATTGTGTTAGACCATCATAAAATGGAAAATGTCATCACACTTCTCATCAATACTAGTATCCGAAACTAATATCAGCACAATTAGCATGTCTCCACCCAAGGAAAACTGTCTTGCAAATGCTCAAAAAGCATCTCCTAAATGATTATATTCCTGGACCATTAGCATCTGGACGATCAGGCTAGGATATAAGCTTAGTGAATAGACCCTCCGACCTCTGTCCTAAACTAATACTGTACTAAATTCTAATGGTCCAGATGGACTTGATATAGGCTTTGTTCGTTGAGCTTGGTCCCTCCAGCAGAGAGCTTTCATTACATGGGAACAGGAAGTCATCTCTATGAGCAAAAATAATCTCTCCCTCCTGTGGTAAGTACAGTTCTCAATAAGCATATTGAGTGCAGAATTAGACATGTAGCATACCACTCTACTCCTCCAGCGTACTAGTACACGATCAGCGCTCAACTTCAGGCTTAGTACAATTCACCAATACCAAATTATAACGTCTTATTGTCCAAATTCTGGGACTAATATTTGCATGAATTGTCCAAATTCAAGATTATAACTAGAGATAAGTGATTCAGATTTAATATTCTCTCTACAAGAATGTGTTGTAACATTTTGCAGAAATCAATTTACACTGCTTGAAAATATGATGCAAAAACCAAATATACTGTAATGAGCATCAGCTTGTTATACCACCCTTAGACTGCACAATAGCCAGCAAAGATCGAACTATCAAAAGGATGTAATGCTGCAATGTTTGCATCACAGATTGTTTAGGTTTCTTAATATTGGCAATTAGCCATTGATAATCAGCCATTGTGTCTTCTGGTAACGGCTCCAAGAATTCACACCTTGCCAAAATATCAGGTGGAGGCATGCAAGCAACGAGGTTTGTTTCGAGCTTTGGCTGCCCTTTATGAAGGTTTCCAGACCCTTGAACAGGATCTTGAAAGACAATAGGCAATGCGCCTGGGATAGCCTCTTCTTTAAATGATAGTGCCCTTGCAGATTGCAAACAGAATTCAATCCATTGAGACACCAAAGGAGATGGTCCTCTAACTCGTCCTCCAACATTACCTGTTTTAACTCTGGAAGTGGCAGGTATTGCCTGCAGCAAGAATATAAGTTTCTTCTTGAGGATTGCAAATCATTCTTCAGCATATGACTTACAGCTGATAAACACATCCTAGAACGTGGAAATAACAGTATCTTGTTTTTTGCATAACTTTTGCCACTTGATTTGTAATATGACATGCATAATGATCAGAGATTCTACAATTTCTCTTACAAACTGGGATTCTACAACTATATGCTTCCCTAAACCATTTAGGGGAGTCGCTAATTCAAACAGGCAAGACTAGCCATAAATGAACTACAGCAGCAGCACTACTACGAGAGCCAGAAACTAATTGTAAGACTGCTGAAAATCTCAAAGTGTTCAAAATATGCAACTACTTTCCATTTGAAACAGATTGAATTTCCCCAAACAGTATTCTAGTCAAGAAATTATTGCTTAACCCACAACTTGATTGCTACAGTAACTGCTCCCCATTAGTAATATTCTCCAGATAAATCTGGTTAATGCTTCTCGACATAAATCTGGTTAAAATTTAACCAGATTTTCATGGACCAACTCCAATTCAATATCAAGCAATTAATACAAGTACAGGAGCATCATTAGTTAAGTTTTAGCTTATGAACTCTGTCGAAGATATTATCTCTCATGATTATGGGAGATATTATCTCCCATGATTATGGGATTTTATTGCTTATGATCAATCAAGTTTGAATAGAAGATAGGATATGAGTTGATTATGTAATCCCTAAAATCATGGTTCTATTACCTTATGTTGTGACAGAACTATGATAGGGTTGTCCTATAAATGCCTACTTGTAAGCATATTATGTGTGTGGGAAAATAAAGAAAAGCAGAGTTTCTTATTTATTTCCTTTTCTTTTTTAAAAAAAAACTTTCATGGTATCAGAGCTCCGGCTCTGTACCAATTCCTGCCATGAACTACCGAGCAGCCATGACTGGATCTACTGCTCACACAAGAGAAGACTCATCCTCGTCTTCAGTAGTTATCCAAACTACAGATTACTCTGCTTCAAATTCTCCTTCCCTACAAATAACCGTTTATAAATTAAATGGTTCCAATTATCATCTGGAATGGGCTCAATCCGTAAAACTGGCTATTGATGGCAGAGGTAAACTCGGCCATCTTACTGGAGAAATTCAACAACCAGCTGCTGAAGATCCCAATTTGAAGAGATGGCATTCAGAGAACTCTCCAGTTATCGCTTGGTTGATAAACTCTATGGAACCAGCGATAGGAAAGCCACACTTATTTCTGCCCACAGCCAAAGATGTGTGGGACGCTGTCCGGGATATGTATTCCGGTATAGAGAATTCGTCTCAAATTTTCAATCTCAAGACGAAATTGTGGAAATCAAGACAAGAAGATAGAGATGTCACAACCTATTACAATCAGATGGTAACTTTATGGCAGGAATTGGATCTTTGTTATGAAGATAAATGGGACTGCCGTGCAGACAGTGTTCGATACAAGAAACGGAAGGAGAACGACAGAGTCTATGTCTTCCTGGCCGGACTAAATCAAGAACTTGATGAGGTGCGAGGTTGTATTTTGGACAGGAAGCCTCTTCCCTCCATTCGTGACGTATTTTTTGAGGTCAGAAGAGAAGAATCAAGGCGTAAAGTGATGCTAAAGTCCAAGGCAGAGTGTGAAGTTGAGACTTCAGCATTGGTTTCTAAGGGGGACAGATTTGGACGGAGATAAACGAAGGAAGCCTTGGTGTGAACACTGTAAAAAGCCGTGGCACACAAAGGACATGTGCTGGAAATTACATGGGAAACCATCGAATTTCAAGAAGAAAAATGGAGGTTATAACAAGGTGTTGCAGACTGTGAATGAGGATTCTCAAAAGCAACAAACTGACTCTGAGACACCGGCCTTCACAAAGGAACAATTAAGCCAACTGTACAAACTCTTTAAGTCTCCACAATTTTCAGTCACTGAGCCAAAAAGCTTCACTCATTTCTGTTCTTTTGCTAAAAATGGTAATCTTTTTACTGTTGCTCTTTCATGTAAAACATCAAATGCATCTTGCCCACGGATTGTATGGGTTATTGATTCTGGGGCCACTGACCATATGACCAGTTCGTCACAATTATTTTCTACCTACAGTCCATGTGCAGGCAATAAAAGAGTCAAGGTTGCTGACGGATCATTATCCGTCATAGCTGGCATAGGTTCCGTTGTCATCTCTCCTACTCTTAACACTTTATAGAGTTCTTCATGTTCCAAATTTATCATGCAATTTGCTGTCCATAAGTAAATTAACTAGGGATCTCAAGAGTCGGATTAATTTTTTCCCCTCTTTTTGTGAGTTTCAGGAACTGAGCACAGGGAGGATGATTGGATGTGCTAGAGAAAATGGGGGACTTTACTTCCTTGAAGATGGATCAAATATGACAACACCAATAAAAAACACATGTTACGGGTCTGTCTCTATTACTAGTAATAAAGAAATTATGTTATGGCACTTTAGACTAGGACATCCTAATTTTTATTACATGAAATATTTATTGCCAGATTTGTTTAAGAATAAAAATTCATCTTCCTTTCAATGTGAAATCTGCGAATTGGCTAAACATTATCGGTCTACATTTTCTATACAGCCTTATCAACCCTCAAAACCATTTTTTGCTATTACATACTGATGTTTGGGGTCCCTCTAGAATTTCAACTCCATCTGGAAAAAAATGGTTTGTTACATTCATCGATGATCACACAAGAGTTTGTTGGGTGTATTTGTTAAGAGAGAAATCAGAGGTTGCAAGTGTGTTTCAAAATTTCTACAGCATGGTTTTGACCCAATTTCAAGAAAAAATCAAAATTGTTCGTAGTGACAATGGAAAAGAATATTTCAATAAAATTTTGGGAAGTTTTTTCTTGAAAAAGGGATTGTGCATCAAAGCTCCTGCAATGATACCCCACAACAGAATGGGGTAGCTAAAAGAAAAAATAAACATCTTTTGGAAGTGGCGAGGGCATTACTTTTTTCAAGAAATGTTCCTAAATATCTATGGGGCGAAACAATTTTAACTGCTACATATCTCATAAACAGAATGCCTTCAAGAACCTTGAATTTCCAAACTCCTCTGAATTTTTTCAAAACACTTTATTCCATTTCTCGATTAACATATGAAGTCTCATTAAAGGTGTTTGGGTGCATAGCCTTTGTTCACAATCATGAACAAGGTCGAAGTAAGTTAGACCCTCGAGCAAAAAAATGCATTTTTGTTGGATATGCACCCACGCAAAAGGGGTATAAATGCTTTGATCCCATTTCGAAAAAAATATTTGTAACCATGGATGTAACATTTTTTGAAGATAAACGTTTTTTTGGAGATCCTCTTCAGGGGGGGACTCGGCATGTAGAAGAACTTGTAGAAGATAATGATGTTTTTCATATTGAAAATCAGATTCCTGATCAAAATTTTGTTGATAGGAGAATCGATTTTTCCGATTTTTTAGAAGAATCTACAGCACAATTTCCTCAACAAGAATCTTTTCAAGATAATAATCCTGAAAAATCAAATGGCACTCTTCAATTTGCCCGTCAAAAGGATTTTGAAAAACTTGAAAAAATTGATCAGGGATTAGAAGAGGATCTCGTCTTTAGTGCCAATAACAGAGTCGAATTCTCTTAGTGAAAGAGATGGGAATGTAACTGAAAAAAACCTGAAAACCTATGTCAGGAAAAATCATTGAGGAAAAGATAAAGCTCCCCCTTCTCTTCACAACAAGGAATCCGAACCTAGGGCAGAATTTGATGTATTTGAGTCCTCAGATAAAGTTTCCTCTGATTCAAAGATTGCTGATTTGGATCTTCCTATTGCACTTCGAAAGGGAGTGCGTTCTTGTATGAAACACTCCATAACTAACTATGTCTCTTATGAAAAGTTATCCCCTACTTTCTTAACATTTACTTCACAACTTTCTTCTGTGAAAATTCCAAAGAATGTACAGGAAGCATTACAAGTTCCAGAGTGGAGAAAGGCTATTGAAGAGGAGATGTATGCTCTTGAGAAGAATCAAACATGGGAAGTAACAAACCAGGGAAAAAGACGGTAGGATGTAAATGGGCCTTTACCATCAAGTATAATTCCGATGGGACATTGGAACGGTACAAAGCTCGATTGGTGGCTAAAGGGTTTACTCAAACCTACGGGATCGATTATCTTGAAACTTTTGCTCCAGTGACAAAATTAAACACTATTAGGGTGCTTCTCTCAAAAGCAGTAAACCTTGATTGGCCACTCCAACAACTTGATGTCAAGAATGCATTTTTAAATGGAGATCTGGAGGAAGAGGTGTACATGGATTCTCCCCCTGGATTTGAAGGGAAGTTTCAGTCTAGAGTTTGCAAGCTAAAAAAATCGTTATATGGTCTCAAACAATCTCCTAGGGCCTGGTTTGACAAATTTACTAGGTCGGTAAAAGATCAAGGCTATACCCAAGCTCAGAGTGATCACACCATGTTTGTTAAACACTCCAAGGACGGGAAGATAGCAGTACTCATTGTGTACGTGGATGATATCATTCTCACAGGAGATGACTTAATTGAGATGGAACGGTTGAAGAAAAGTCTTGCTTCTAGCTTTGAAATCAAAGATTTGGGAACACTACGATATTTCTTAGGGATGGAGGTAGCTCGGTCCAAGAAGGGCATAGTTGTGTCCCAACGCAAGTATGTTCTGGATCTTTTAAAGGAAACAGGGATGAATGGATGTCGACCTGCAGACACTCCTATGGATCCGAATCACAAGTTAGCAGATATAAAAGATGGAACACCAGTTGATACTGCTCGATACCAAAAGTTAGTAGGCAAGCTAATTTACTTGGCTCACACTCATCCTGATATAGCCTTTTCAGTGAGTGTTGTGAGCCAGTTTATGCATTCTCCATATGAAGAGCACCTTGATGCAGTATATCGACTTCTGAGGTACTTAAAAAGTACTCCAGGAAAGGGATTGTTCTTTAAAAGGGGAGATCGAAAGACCATTGAAGCTTATACAGATGCTGATTGGGCAGGATCAGTCATTGATAGAAGATCAACCTAGGGGTATTGTACCTTTGTATGGGGCAATTTGGTTACTTGGAGAAGTAAGAAACAAAGTGTTGTAGCTCATAGTAGTGCAGAGACAAAGTACCGAGCTATGGCTCATGGTGTCTATGAGATGTTATGGCTGAAGAGAGTTTTAGAGGAGCTGAAAAGACCTATTGAACTTCCAATGAGGCTCTATTGTGATAATCAGGCAGCAATTAGCATAGCTCACAATCCTGTGCAACATTATAGAACCAAACATATTGAGATTGACCGCCACTTCATAAAAGAGAAACTTGAAGGAGGAATTATCTGCATGCCATTCGTTCCATCAACTCAGCAAATAGCTGACATTCTCACCAAAGGACTCTTTAGACCAAATTTTGAACTTCTTACAAGCAAGTTGGGCATGATAAATATATATGCACGAACTTGAGGGGGTGTCGAAGATATTATCTCCTATGATTATGGGAGATATTATCTCCCATGATTATCTCTCATGATTATGAGAGATATTATCTCCCATGATTATGGGATTTTATTGCTTATGATCAATCAAGTTTGAATAGAAGATAGGATATGAGTTGATTATGTAATCCCTAAAATCATGGTTCTATTACCTTAAGTTGTGGCAGAACTATGATAGGGTTGTCCTATAAATGCCTACCTTGTAAGCATATTATTTGTGCGGGAAAATAAAGAAAAGCAGAGTTTCTTGTTTATTTCCTTTTCTTTTAAAAAAAAAAACTTTCAAACTCTCTATATGTTAAGTAAATATATCACCATCACCACAAATTTGTTATCCATCTGTACAGAAATTATTACATGGTGGAATTCAAAACTAACTCACAAAAGCAAGATAATGCTTTTCTGCATCGGCAGTTAAGAGGATAGAATCTTTCATACAGATAGTAAAGATGATAGATGGAATCCTTCTTTAATCAAAGTTATGCTACATGAAAAGAGAATTCCACATACTTTTTTGGGTCAGGCATTAAACGTGCTAAACTATCAAGACAATCCGAAGTTCATACATTTGCACATGTCCGAATAGAATTATAGTTTAGTAATAGAAAAAAATTTGGTGAAAGTGGTTTAAGAAGATACACATACATACCCAAAAGTCTGCCCATAAACTAGCACCAGACTTTGGAACAACAACTGCAACATTTGACATCCTTTTAGCAGCAGGAAGAATATCACTACTCCACCCAACAGCCACCCAAACATCACCAACTCCGAAAGCTTTAAGATAGTACTGGCTGTCAAAAAGTCGAACCTATAGCCAACCGTGTAATGGAAACTTGTTAATACAGTTACCATCCATCCATGAACAGGTAATTGAAGTTTTGCAAGGTGTTCTACATCAGTCCAAGAACAAATAAGAGAATGATTAATTGACCACGTACAATTGCTGAACCACAAGTCACCTAGAGAAATAAGTCCAAACAAGATGCACTCATTAATGCAAAAACTTTTAATATATGGAGTCCAAGAACAGATTGATTAACAAAAATTAGAACACTTCAAATTTTATCAATCACATTTACATTTTCATCAGTCCCAAATTCTCTAACCTTTGAAGGGACTCAATAAGTTCTTCACTTAAACAAATCCTCAGCTAGTCCTCCGATGGATGTCCAATAGTTTTTTGGGCAGATCTACTCGAAAGCTGACACAAAGGAGAAAATTTGACTCTATGGTTATTCACCTATCATGTAATAAACTGACCTCTGCTAGTCCTCCAATGCTTGTCCTAAACTGTTGTATGGTTTAAAACCTTGTAATATTAATGGGCCATTGGTGAAAAACCTAAATGCTCTCATGCTACTATTTGTGCTACTTCAGGAAACAGAATTATATAAAAACTTCTATAAGTAAAAGTTTACTAAACACGCCCCCAAAAACAAAGATCCAAAAAAATAAAATCCTTAATTTTTGCTATGCATGAGAGCTCACTTTGGAGAGAGATAATCAATTTTCACTTGGACTTAAGAAGAAAATCATACTAGAGATTAATGAGGTCAAAATCTGCGGACTATTGAAGTCAATTTCTGGAAGTTTGAAGAAAAAAAAAGGGTAATTTGATTCTACTCTAAATTTAGAGACTAGGAGAAGTTCGTTGAAAAGTTTATGGGCCAATACAACTGGTTTTCCACAATCAAACTCGACAGGTTTCTTTTATCATTTGCTGGAATGGTGTAGACATCTCTTAAATAATTATAATTGATAAACTCATAACCATGTAAAGATGATGCCTGCAAGATGCGTTGGAAAACCCAAACCCTCATATTCATCAATAAAATTCATTACATACTTGTTCCATTTCCAGTCTATCCAAGTGCCACTGTAAGATATATTTGTCAATAGCCTGTATGGGGGTTATGGGATCAAAATAGGGTCATTGTTTCACTTTGCCCCCAGTAAACATTTAATTTATCACTTTTCCCCTTTGACTACAGGTCAAAAGGAACAGTTGGTTTGACCATTAGTCAAAGAGAGCAGAATGAATTGAATAGCCTCCAACATTTAGTCAATAAAAGCATTTTACCAATTCCGTGTCAAACAAAAATTTTGTTTTCCATTCTTACCTTTCCACTAGAGGAAAGAAATAATATGTGCATGGCATGTGACTTGAATAAAAAGGAAAAAAAAAAACAAAAGAATAAGGATTAAAATTGTTGTTGTTCAAAGGAAAAGAAAAACCAAAAAAAAGAAAACTCTAAAGCTTAAAAGAAGGCTTAACCTTAACCCTTTGGCTGTCATACTGCTGTTGCTTATTATAAAATGGTGAAGGTGTATAGCTTTATTTTGCCATATTATGAAGTAGAAATTCATCAAAACACAATGAGTTTGTTTGGATAGGAGTTTATTTGGATGATTTATTTGAGATAATTAATGTAGCACTTTTTGTGATGTAATGTATGTAAGATAAAAAGGTGATTGGAAAGATAAAAAGGTTGTTGAAATTTGTGAAGTAAATTATTTTATCTGAAATCAAGTGAATCCAAACAAACCCACTCTTTTCTGAATACTAACCTATTTAGCTTGGGGGTTTTTTTCTTTCACTTTGAGCTTGCTTTTTACCATTTAAACAGGAAACTATTTTTTCTTTTTTTTTCAAGTTGCACGTCACATCAGTTTTATGTCCAATAGCGTGGTAACAATAAAACAAGAGTGTGCCTATTTTTTAATCCTAAATCATAAAACAGTCTATCAACTATTTTATCCAAGGCAGTTTTAGTGGTTTAGCACCATTAACTAGCAGTCAAACTAAGCATTCATTAAGCCTAAGGTGGCAAAATGATAACTAGATTGTTATAACGGGGCAAAGTGAAAGTGACCCTAATAATTAAGACTACAGTGGCTCGGCTACCAGTCTAAGTTGCTTACATGAAACCCATTACCCATTATCAGTTTAAGATGTGCTTACTGAACTCATCGAATGTCAAGTTTTGATATGTATATATCCAACCCGTTACCAACTAATTGTGATGCACACAATTCATTTGTTAATTGTTAAGCCAACTGGGAATCAACCAGGAAAAACCAAATTACAATTTAGGTCACTCACCATCAAGAATATCACTATGTTAAACAAACAAATAGTGCTCTTTATCAATGGAAATCAAATTCCAAGGGGGCCTTCAAATTATTCATGTGATACTAATATAGCAGAAATCCAAGGGTGAGAAAATAAGGTTTCATGCACTGGAAGCCTAACAACTTAAAATATAATGAATCATGAAATCTTATGTTACTAAATCAAGAAAACTGTATACCTATTAATATCTACTACCAACAGAGGAAGTTAGGTTAAAATCTTTTTGTTCCTCATTTGACCATTTAAATCTCCTAAGAGCTGAACAATATTCGAGTCATTTGTTTGCAGAGAACTTATTTTCAGAAAGGGCATCTGGCAATTTAATCATATTATTTGATGAGTTAAATAATTAGTAAGTCACATTATAGATTTCCTTGTCTCGTATGTAATAATAAATTCCCCATTACACAATGTCTTTTTCTTTTCCTTTCAATTCATTGGTTATTTAATAAGTTAATGATGTTTAAAATCAAACATTTGACTCAGCTTCAAACTGATTTAAGTAAAATGTAAACATACACACACAATCTGGCTTTGAGTATTTGGCTGCCTCTTACAAACCAAATCAGATTACCCATCAATAAATCCTATGCAGTACCAAACTAAATGATTACCCATCAGTCACCTAATCAAGTTTTTAATCAGCTCCGACACCCAAGCGTTTTGCAAATACAACCTGTTGTAATCCATCATAATAATAGGTAATATTAAGTGCACACCAATTTGTTTTAGCCTAACTTCAATCTGCAACCAAACATTGGAAGATTTTGAAAAAAACTTCCAGAAAATGCTTTACATCCAAACAAACAGAACCCTTATTTACCATCTACTGAACTCAGTTGCAGCCCTCATTGTGAAGTTTCTTATTTAGGTATTGAGAAAGTATACACTCTGTTCTTTTACTATTTTAATTTTATCTCATATGGCATCATAACAAGCATCAAACTGGGTATATGAACCTAAATGGATCAGAACTTGGATTACTAATGACTGAAAATGTTCAAAGCAAAGCACTTGGATACTGCATACATTCAAGCCAAGAACATCCCAATGTTTTTTAACTAACAGCTCAGGAAGGAGATTCAATGTTGATCTGACTAAATCTTGATCATAAGTATAAGATAATGAGCTGCCTTGAAGTTTAAAGCATTATAATCCTAGCTTATAGCTGTCAATTCTTCCCAGAGAAAAAAATCAAGGACTTCAGCATTCCTTATGGAATAATTTATACCTTTCACCTCAAAATTTTACCTGTTTAGCAAACAATGCAAGCTTCTCTTTCAAAGCAGATTTTCCACCAGCAACCTGAGAAGTGATGTTGTGTGTATTATATGAAGCCCCCATGTACTTTAACACTGCACCAACAATCTCTCGTGGTGAATCAACCATTGAAATCTTCCCAGCTAGCTCAGGCCGCCATAAATCAGCCCAATCCTGCAGATCATTCAGCTACTTTGATATGGCCAAACAGAAAAAGGAAGAAGAATTTTGAACTAACACGTACCCATCTAAATGTGCTGACAACCTATGTTTTACCAGAAATTGTCTTTGCCCTAACATAACCATGTCGAGACAATACATCATGGGTATGGGTGCAGGACACTCATATGAAACAGCTGGTGTCACCAGACGTGAAGGAGGAGAAAAATAGAGGTTAACGTGTTGTTCAAAAGAAGAGAAAACTCATGACTTGTCCAGTATGTGGCAAGATAAAGACAATGGTTTTAAAAAAGCTGCCAAAATGGTTGCTCAAGGAAGAAGATCAATGGACAGGAGGATTAGGCTGGTTGGACTGCTTTTTTCTACCTTTTCTTTTTGTTTGGTGTTTTTTTTGAGGGGAGGGGAAGGGAAGGGAAGGAGGTTTTGGATAGAAGACAGAGCTGGCTAACGGTAGAGGAGCTGAGATATTTGTACTGTAGATTATTTTTCCATTCTAAACTCCCAAATCTCTGAAAAAGGGCACAACCTTATCATAGTACTTGTGGCTTAACCCATATAATTATACTAAAGTATATCACACACATTTTATTTTTAAAATGTGGAAATAATTGCACTTTTCTTTATCATGCTCCTAATGATTCTAACAAATTTTGAATCTCAAATATCCTCCATTTAGCATGAATTACCATAGCCTTGTTCATGGAGCTTTTAATTTCACAGCATAGAGAATCCAACGCTTGGATACACACTCTGGCATCCAAGTATGAGTTTTGCAGTTGAAAACTACACCAAGAATGAGATATTGCATCACATGGTTGGCAGGAGGTCAATTGGAAACTGACCTATTTCCTCAAATTCTTATTCAATAGCTCAGTAAGTTTGAAATTTGAAGGAAAGGAAAACATATCTATTAAAACCAGGAAAATAGTAGCATAATACAGGAAACAACACATTTTATGGTAATCAAAATCCTCGAGCTATAAATTCACAGAAAAGACGCATATCGCCCCTCTCAACAACCTCTCACTCCCCACAACTTCTTCCCGTTTCAAATAGCATCAAAAGACACACCAAGTCAGATCGTGAAGGACATCCCTCTCTTCAATGCCAACACTTAATGTCCATGTTGGATGACTTTCATGTGGGCTTTTCACAAGTTCTCCAACCTTATTGCATTAGGAGTATAATAAGTACCGTGTCCTAACATATACTATACCAATTGGCCTATTGCCACAGATAGTTTCATAGTTTATAACTAATTTGTGCCCTCATACTCTCTACAACTTAATCACTGGCCGGAATACAGGAATTAATTTCCTCATTTAAAGTTCTTCATATAGCCAAATACTATGAGACTCAAGATTTCCAAAATTTACAACTTGCCTCTTTATTTACAAAATTTGTTTTACAACTACTTAATGATAGCTTTATCTAGAAATGCAAATTTCGCAACTATTGTTTGACCTTTTTTTCTTTTGGTATTGCCACTTTGAACTGCCTCTAGCTCATTTATGGAAACTAATCATAGGTGATCTACTTTTCTGTTAAATTGAGGTAAAATTGCATAATACATTCTTACAAATCTATTGTAGGATGGGAGTGTTTTTCAAAAACTAGTTTTTCAAATACAATAAAAAATTTTAAAAAGTACTCTAAAAGGTAATCTAAAAATTAGTTTAAATTTTTTTAAAATTTTAAAAAATATGTCAAAAGATATTCTAGAAACTCTTCTACTCTTAAATATCCCAAAATGAACGAATGTGAATTTGGAAAGGATCGCTTTAATTCTTCAATGATAAGGGGCAAAAACGTAAATTTACTCTAACCTCTGGACAACTATAGAACAATTTAGAGCAGCTGATAATTCACCAATGGACAAATGCTATTTAGAGTAATACCAACAACGAAATAACACAATTGGGTCATGAACTTTTCCAGATTTAACAAGTCTGAACACAATGTCAGAAATCAAATCTCCATAATGTTTCTATATACTTCGACATCTTGCCTAAGCAATCACATATTTCCAGCACACCACCGCCCCAACAATGATTAAACAAAATTAGCAAACCATTCACAATTAACACAAAGCATTGAGCTCCAGAAATCTTTACTCGTTTTAATATAATGGGTTGAACAAAAGTCGGAAGATCTGACTTACCACTATGGGAGCCAATTTATGCTTTAGAAATTTGCTTTTCTTATAAGCTATAACCAGGCTTCCCCATCTGTACGGAACGGCCCATATTTTGCCTTGAGGATCCAAATTTCCATCAGTACTCCTGTGCAAATATCCCTGAGATTATATAAAGTAGCTCTGAAAACACATCCCTATGTTAAAAGAGTATATCACTACTTGGGAGAGAGGACAGTGAAAAGTGAATAATCAATAAAACAAAGTAATTTTCTTATACGACAAGTAGAACCACAAATTAGTTCTTCATTTGCGATAGCAATTAATAGGTAAAAGCTTCTACCTAATTTCATACAGGCTTCTTTTGCAAACAGAAAAATAATAGAAAACTTTAAGCAATGACAGCAAGTTGTTCAGATTGGTCAATATCTTGTACAAGGCTTAACAGCATTCGGCGGAATGCTGAAAAAACAACATACATATGTACGCATCTTCTTCTATCTACATACACAAACACGCATCTCTACAGAGAAAATAAAAACTTTTAGCAACTCTCAGAACTTGTGGGAAAAAAAAAGTTTATAGACAATTGAGAAACTGAATCAATTCTTTCTAAAACCTTAAAAAAAAAAAAAGAATTCAAAGTAAGATATTTGTGATTTCCTTTTCCCATCATAATGAGTAAAATTAATAGAGAGCCAACTGTCAAATTAATGAGCTAACTGGGAGTTACTTACCATGGACAGAAAAGAAAACGCAGCCAGGCAGGTAAACAGACAAGCAAGCACACACACATACACATGAAGAGAGGTAAACAAAGACACAAACACACAGAGATTAGGGAGTTTCAGTATTTTATGGCCTGGCATAAGAAGCATACTGATGGTCCAAATAAGCAGCAAGTACAACTTAATATTGAGAGTTTTCCATATTCTATTTTCTTTTTCCTGCAGAAACAAGCTAAAAAAGCTGTGATGACAATTTTTTTCAAGTCTCACACTTGAAACGAAACATGAGCACATCACAAGGGCCCATTTCACTGCTTCAGTGGTAAAGTAAAGCCCAAAATGACAATATGTAAATCTATGTCTACCTTCCAGTCCTCAGTCAAATCTCGAAACCAATCTTGTTCTTCCACCCCTTGGATGGGCTGAATCAAACCCTCTTTTATGGCAAAACTGAGCCAAGAATCACCCAGTGTAACAACATCAGCTGCCATTGCAGATTTTGGGCTAACAGCTACTTTGTTATTTGACTGGCAAAGTTCAGAAAAGATGTCCATAAGGTTTTGACGAAACTCTGGCTGTAACTTCACTCTCTTTCCTTGGGATTGTATGAACTCCTTCAAAAAAAAAATTCAAGATGAAAATCTAAAATTGTGCTGTAATAATTAGCAACAAGGAAGAAAAGAATAAGTGAAAAATCACAGTGCATTAATGAGAGCATAAAGTACATCAACTGGCAATCTACATAACGTAGTCTACATACTCATGAAAAAGATTTAAGAAAAATAATGAGAAACCATAATCAGTTATCGCATGTCTAAACACTAGAAATGGCAAGGGGGAAAAAGGCATCTAGGTACCACATCATAGCTGCAGTGACTGCTAGCAATAGACAGGCCAAAATCAACTCAACGGGTGGATTTCTATTCGTTTGACAGTTGAGGAGGGAAAAAGAAGAGAGGGGGGGGGAGGCAAACAGCAAAAATAGGATATGAAAGCACACCTGGAACCATATAGAAGGGAGTGAGTTGCGTAAAGCAACAACTCTTAAAGGAACTGACAAAGCATATGTTTTGGACTTCCATCTCTCAAAAGCTGCCTTCAATTCATCAGCTTCAGCTTCTTCCAAATTCTCTGACTTTTTTACATCACCAAGGTCTGTATCAACACCAAATAATGGCAAATATTCAAGAAATGAGTGATGCAGACAACAAATGGCTCAAGGAATTCCAGGATTGAGGTTTTCCAGAATTTTGCTCAAACTTCAATTCGGCACAACATCATGGAGAAACAGTATTATCTGAGACTTGGTTTGAGTCTGAAAGGAATCTTTTTTTCCAGCTTACCTAACTTGGTTTTTAACTTTTATGAGTTTTGAGATCTAATTTTGGGTGATTACAGGTGGTAATTAGGAATTTAGCTTTGGCAGGAACTTTTGGTTTTTGTTATATCTCTGTTCTCGTAGTTAGTATTTTACTAGTTAGTAAGAAGCTAAGGAATCTTTTCTGATTAGGCATTAGTATTAAGAGAGGAACTTGTTTATATTCTCACCAAATTAGTGAATCCTAAATGCAATACAATTTGATTTCGGAGTATAGATTGTGCTTCTCCACAAAGGGAAGACGGGTTTATTAGATTCATAAAATTCCTGCACACTTGTTGTCATCTTGAGATTGCTTAACACAATCTTTCCTTAGCTGTGATTCTTAAAAGTTTCTAGGAGTCATTCCTGGAGTTTCCTAATTTAATTTTCTTGGTAATCACTAGTTCCCAGCAGTTATCTATGATTCTGGTTCTGATTTATTGGGATCTTTGTTTCTACAATTTTTGCTGATAAGATTGTGATTTTCTTTGAGTTCAAAGCCCTGATAAACTTTTCTAAGCATTCGTTGATTTACCATCACCTGTGGTGCTGCATCACCAAGGTACTTGGATGGTAATCCAATTTACCAAAAACAAGCCTCATAACTATTTGGGTTCCAATGGTATTTTACTTTAAAATCATACATATAAAGCATGAAACTCATAGAAACTTGAATTTTCAGATTATTTCAGTATCAGTTATCCCGCTCAACCTCCCAACAATTCTCTAAGAAACAGAGTGCTGGATTCAACTTTCCAATACTCTCCAGTAAAAACTCGTACATCCATAATTTATCTTTGGCTGATTTGCACCAAAGATGGTAAGTTAATAATAGTGATCATGAAAACTTCAAACAGGATAAGGACTTCAGAGATTTCTCTGAGGGTTTATTCCTAAATGAAGCCCATATATTCTTTCAAAACTCCATATTTCCAAAGCAACCATGTAAAGATATCTCTAATTACGATACAGTGGAGGAGACAGCTTGCTTCAAAAGTCAGAACAGCCTCACAAAAGAATAAATCAGTTGTCTCTTCACAATAAATATAAGGAGAAACGAGTATGGATTTTGCTTCACGATAAATAACAGCTTCAGAAAGGTATACACAAAAAGAAGAACGAGTACGCATTTTGATATCAAAATTATCATTTTCGCCCCAAATAGGCTATATCACTACATTCCAAAGATATCATTCCAAGGCAAATAATGAAGCTCAATTACCTCTGTTGGTCTATCTTGTGCTTGTCTTAGTTGGACAACATTAGCAGAATATCACTTAGTTAGTCAAACTATAGTAGGGGAATTGCCCATTACCCAGGAAACAAGAAAGAAGCAATTGATCAGGTTAAAAAACCTAGCTGTGCTACTTACAGCCAAAACTTCTTTTGTTTCAACTAACCAATTATCTTCCATCAACCATGAAAAGGATAAGCATTCTAAGGGGGTGTTTGATAACCCCGTTAGTTTTCTTGCATATTAATACATTAAGACTTTAATTTGTATACAAAATTTTAAGTGAAAGATGTATCACTTATTGGCTGAATTTTTTTATTATTTTTTCATGCATATAAATTTTCTCACACACACACTCTCTCTCACACGTACACTTTTATACATTCTCTTTCTCTCTCTCTCTCTCACACACACACACAGACAATCTCTAACACCCAAACACACTTTCATAGATAAACACAGACACTTTCACACCCATACACAAATACACACACACACTCTCTCTCTCTCTCTCTCTTACACCTACACACATCCTGCTCTCTCTCTTCCCCACAGACACACAATTCATACATACACACTCTCTCTCTCACACACAGTCTCTCTCTCCTACATGTATTTTCTTCAATAACACGTACTTTTAAATGTAATCTCTCCATCAAACACACAAAATATATACTAATATTCTCTCAAAAACACACATTTTCACACTAAAAACACTCTTTTTCTATCACACGCAACAAAAGCACACTTTCCATATTAATATGCAGTTTATTAGTATCAAAAAGTAATATTTAAAACATTATATAATACAAAAATATAGCATACTATTCAACTATATAGTACACATGAAATAAATATTTCAATTCCATGCTTGCATTCAGCTGGTTATCAAACAGATTTGACTTTATGGATTCAGTAAATTAAGATTTCAGCCATTAAGTTTCAATCTTCAGTTTTCAGTTTGGTCAAACGCCCCCCAAGACTAACAAAGGTGTGGATGCATCTTGTAAATAACAGTTGAGAACAGCATTTCAATGTGCATGGGTTACTTCATGACTAAATACAATATCAATATTTCCTAGTCGACTCAAATATCCAATTAGGACATTGAGGAGAACAAAATTTACGTGAATTACTGTAGAGTTTTGAACATTTGGCATACTCGAGATCAAGTTGCACTCATTCCTTATAAGGAGAAAAACTAGGTTGCTTAAATCAGGGCTAGCACTTAGACTAGGTGCAGAACTTCCAAAATTTCCTCCTCCCCTCTTGTAACTCACCTAATCCTAGAACTTAAATTCTTTTTCTACTACTCTATAATCCTCCATCCTCTTCACCTTCTTCATAAGTACTCGCCTTCATTCTTTGTCATTCTTAATAAACAAAAAACCATCTGATTGTTGTTCTCAAAAATTACCCTCTACTCAACAATTCCCAGAAGAATCAAAATAGAACACATACAAAATCCTTGAGACAGTACTCCAGATAAAAATATGAAAAATTTTACCGCTGACAAGGCACCTATCGGGGCAAAAAGTTGAGTGGAATTTGGGCTGGACCAGCTGCACAACACTGAACAAGAACGTTTTTTTCACCTCACTCTTAGAATCTGGAGAACTCTTAACTTCAATCTTCATATGGTAGTATAAGATATAGCCAACTTATCTTTTTCATTGACTTCTTTCAGTTTTCAACATGGTATCTAGGCATGCGAAAGGCCCCACAAATAATGCTCTCACCTTTGCACGCACTCTAACAACAGAAATGAAGAAATGCTTAGCAACAGAATCATTAAATTACCAACTCTTGGATCATCTAGTTATAAAACCTACATTTCATAGAAAGTAAAATAATAAGCACATTATTCTCAAGTATTTCCTCCTGTTATTAGACCAACATAAACAGAGAGCACTTATATTACTAAGTATGAAAAACTGCTGACACTAGAACAAGCATAATCATTAAGCATATTCCTCGGATGTTTCAATACAAGCATAATCATTAAGCATATTCCTCGGATGTTTCAATATCAACTACAACTGCAACAGTAAAAAGCAAAGAACAAAACAACACCACATAAGTCTAAACTGTTTCAAATACCAATCAAATACCAAGTTTCAGTATGCCCACATAAGTCTAAACTGTTCTCGTTTGGCACCCATTAAATATGTTAATTAGAGTGCTAAATACAATCAATCAGTAAAAGGACATCAATCTAAGCACAACGTCCAACCGATCAAAGGTAAGATTGTACCCTGGAATTGGCAGTTCACAACGGAAGCAATAACAGGAGGAAGCCTGGTACAGGCGGATGCCGGCAAGGCCCGAATGCCGAAGCCTAACCCCAGGAAGAGAACAAAGGAGACGGCGAGGTTCTGAAGAATATCTCCAGTGCTCGTCGTAGTCGGCAGCGGCGGCGAGGAAGACGTCAGATTCCGGTCACGTGAAGCGGCTGAAACTTTAAGAATTGAGAGCCGGAGGCACTGATTGCGGAGAGATTGCAATTGGGGATTTTTTGTGGGAATTAGAAGAACCGTGGAATTAGGGGTTAAGGAACTGTGGCAGATTGAAATTGACATATTATTGTTTCAAAACTGTTGAGAAATTGTGACAGAAATGAAGGCGTGTGAAACGGGCAGATAACTCAAATTGGTTATCCAGATTTAATTCAATTCCGATTTTTTTTTTGAATTATGTTATTTTAAGAAGTCAAAATTAATATCAGGGTTACTTAAATCTACCTCCCCGTGGTTACGCCAAAGAAGGTGCAAACTGTGAGAATCCAACAATTTTTACATTTTCTCAATATTATTTTATTTCTTTGCCTACATTTTATATTTTCTTTAGAAATATTAAATTTTCTACGCATTTTTATAAGTAAGTACAGTTTTAAAATCATTTTCCTAGTATGAGTTAGTATACGTTAATTTGAAGTGCATTATAGACGTGGGACCCGCTAATGCGGTAAGTGCGATATAATTTTGGTGACTAAGTGAGTTTTGTGCTAAGTGTTATTAGTTTACAAGGTGCTAGAGAATAATTAGAGGTTTGTTATATGATGTAACCATTGGAAGCCAAAGGATTAGGGAAAACACTAGAAAGGCCAAGTGTCATGATACCATTGGAGGATGGCTTTTGACTTACTATTCATCACCTTTACTAAAACCAATTTTTGACCAATTTTCTCTCAAATTTTCTTTGTCTTGGCCGGCTGCTCTTGAGGAGAAAACAAAAGAGAGAGCTCTTCAATTTTAGCTTCCAAACTTGCTCAAATCTTGTGTTCTAGCCAACCAAACTTGAATCTACTCCATACAAGTGATCACTAGGAAAGCTTAAAGGTGTTGGTGGAGTTGTTTTAGAGGAGTAAAGACTAAGCTACCATTTTCCTTGAGATTCTGATACGAAATATGGGCCGCTTATGGGCCATGTTTAGGCTGCAAGAGATTGAATCTTTTAGTAATAGTTAGTAGTTTATTTTCTACTTTTCTATTTTATTTGCTAGGAATAAATTTGGCCATAAGATATGTAACGCCCCCGCTTCTCCCAAGAGCGAACCCTAGGATATCGGCGGGACGCCTGCCTAGCTCGCGCCAGGACTCGAAATTTCAAAGCAATAAAACCTAGATATACCAAAAGCGTACTATTCACAATAGCCAACTCCAAAAAAAAATTCTATTTACATCCCCAAAAACAACTAGTCAATCGACTATATTACATTGTGATAACAACTAGCAGAAAGTAGACCCTAAGGAGGTTCCTTCTACAAACCACCAAAACAAAAATAACAATCTTAATTGTCCAACTATTACAAGCAAACCTAACTATACTAGTGAATGTGCCAAAGAGTTCCCCGTGTCGTCCCCTGCTAAGGAAAACAAAGGAAAGGGGGTACGTTATATGCTTAGTAAGTAAACAGGGGCAAAAGCGTAAATTTCACGTAACAACAGTTACACAGTAAGAGTAAAGCAAAAGCAGAAAAGTAACATCACATAATAAGGATACAGGTGGCTCCAAAGCCAATTCATGTGCCATGTATGATCTCCTGCCGACACTCTGTCGACCACAAATAATGGTCCGTAGAACTCCACTTGTTCTCCCATCGTACACCTTATCACCCTCTCTGGCCAGACACCTCACAAACTTACTCGAGCGAACGAAATTGAGATTGGTTCACAAGCTCGGGTCACAAACTTGGTCCACATACTCGGTGAACCGGATTCACAAACTTGGTGACCTCAAACCAGGTTGGACTGACTTCGACCAATCCCTAACCGGCTCGAATAGTCCATCTAGGTCATGAGATCGGGTCCCAAACTCACAAACTTCACAAAATTTACTCAAAAGTCACCCCGAGCCACAAGTTCAAGGGGTTTAGTTCCAAAATGATTCATATACATGTGCCATGTACAAATATGTGCGTAAATTAGGGTTTAGGTCGAGTGCGATAAAGTACACCCTCGCCTAGGTACCCTTTTCATACATACCGAAACACATAAGCAACTAACACATAAGAGCGGCCTGAATACTTACACAACGAACAAAAGAGCAAAAGTACGAAATTCGTGCCGCGAGGAGTAGCTAGTAGGCCCCACCGGCTCCACCTAGCTCACCAACGTCTGAAATTGAAGATTGTGTCACAATATATCACAAACGGCTACTAACATACTTAAAACAAGCAAAACGGCAAAATCGGCACATGCAAGTGCGGAAACGGCAAAACGGGCGCACGCGCCCGCGCGGAACGGCAAACGGAAATGGCCAAATCTGCCTTCTCAAACCGTTTTGATCAAAAGTTAGACTAGGAATGTCGGATCAAGGTACATGAGGTACCGTTGCGAAGCTAAGAGGAAGGGCTACAATTTTCATGAAGACACCTAAATCCGGATCTGAACAGAAATAGGTCGAAAGTATGGAAAATCGTTCTAGGAATTCGCACTTTAGAGTGACGGACAGGGTATGTTTGCTGGACCATAAATCCCAGCTCACAAATCCAAATCAGGAAATTCCAAAGGCATTAGAAAGCTGAGACATAAGGATAAAACTTTGATGTTTTGGCCAAGACCTGAATCCATTCAGAACAGAACGAAAATTGAGTGCCAAAGTACCCGTCAGAACTGTCCAGATCAAAGGCAGTTCTGACGATAAATCTTGTTTTGGTCATAACGGAAGTTACGGAACTCGGATGTCGACGCACTTTATACCGTTTCGAAGCTAAAACCAAGATCTATATTTCTTATGAAGGAGTTAACACCCAGATCATACGGGATCAAAACGGAAAAATGCACGGTCAGAGGCTGAAATTCAAAACGTACACAATTTCAGTGTACAAAATAGGTGCGAGTGTTTTGGTTATAACTCGAGCTACATAGATCCGTTTGACCGGAAATTTTGTAGATATATTCAGGACTTAAGAGGCTACAATATTGAAGAAGGCTACTCAGTCCAGTTTCGATTGCAACTAGGTCAAAATTGCATATACTACCCCAGAACCGTAAAAACAGGCTCACAGAACGTATTCTAGCGGAAACATGATAAATCAGGCTATCCAAGTCCGAATCCAGAAATTCCAAAACCGGCTGAAAGCTAAGAAACAGGGATACATTTCATCAGAAGACCACAACAACCAATTCGGAAGCAATTCCAGCCAAAACAATCAATTACAGGCGCAATTCTTACATTCGGATAAAACCAGGACAGCAATAGTAATTTCGACTTTTCTCATCCTACACTACTCCGATTGACCTGAAATTTTGTAAGCACCTCTAAAATGTCATTCCATACAATTTTCATGTTTTAAGCCAAGGCCAATTCGGCCTCTAACTAGGAGCTAAAAATTCGGGCAGAATGCTCCCACAAGAACCCTAATTTTCTGAAATTTCTTCCAAACCAGAAATTGGTTGCAATTAATCACTTTTTCCACCTCCTAGTGTCATTATATACCATTTCCAATCATCATAGATAGCCACACAATCATGCTTATATTAAAACAGAAAAATCCCCAAAAATAATAAAACTTCATCACTTCAACCACAAATCAAGAAATAACCCATAATATTGCATCTCATACTATCACTAAGCATGATTTAAGCATCAATTAAAGGAGGAGGGTGGTTCTTCACAACTCACCTTAGAAACAAGAGATAGAGCAACTAGCCACCTTAGCTTTCCAAACAACTCCACAAAACACCTCAAGACCACTTAGCAAAGAGATTTTATGGAATGATTTGGAGTTTTATTGGTTGGATTTGAAGATTGAGCAAGAAATAAAAGTAGACAAGAAAGGCTTCTCTTGTATTTTTGCTCCAAGAGGTTCGGCCAAGACAAGCTTAAAATGGAGAGAAATTGGTCAATTTTTGAGGTTTAGTAAAGGTGATGCAAATTAGTCAAAGTCCAACTTTGAATAAGAAGGTGACACATGTCACCTTTTGGTTTAAAACTTATCTTTTTGTCTCTCCAATACAAATATCTTAACACCTTGTAAAATAATATCACTTAATACAAAATTCCAACAAGTTGTCAAAAATATAATGCATTTACCGCACTAGCGGGTCCCACGTCCAAAATACGCTCTTAATTTCTCAAAAACTAACCGATACTAGAAAAATCATCTAAAAACTATATTTACTCAATAAAAATTATCTGGGGAATTTTCTAATAAAGAAAATGTAGAAAAGGCGGGCGATTAAATAAAAGAAACCCTAGAAAATTAAAAAATTTTCGGGTTCTCGCACTCATTCTTTTCGGGGCGTCACAGGATAGGCCATGTCGGCCACCTTTGTAGTCCCTACGCTGAGCTGTTACGGGGGCCACCTTTTTAGTTACGGCTACAAATAGCCTTAAGTCGTTGTTTACATTCAGCTTTTTGACGATTAATAAAAATTACATTGAGAGTTCTCTCAAGCTTCATTGAAGCACCTTGAATATCTTAGATTTGTATCTTAGGTATTCAATTGACTTATCAATCTAGGACCGCGCTAGATTGTGACGTCTTCTACAATACCGAGGTTCGTTGACCACGTGATCAACGGGTTTAGGTGATCCGCTGTGTTCGTCGCCTTCAACGTGAGTCCCTACCTTCTAGATCCAAGTCTTTTGTACGGGTTGCATCACATGGTTGGTGCCGTTCGTATCAGATTCTAAGGTAAATTAATAAAAACACCTTCCTTTGTTCCTAGTAGTTGTAAATTAGTGGCTTGTGGTTGCCACTTTGGAAGCTTTATACAATATTTCTTGGTTAGAAGTGGTGATTGAGGAATTTTCAGTTTTATGGTGTAATTTTTGCTCACATGTGATGATTAATGGTTGGCCATGATTTACTAGCTTTGATATGTTAAAAATCTAGTGTTTTGGTGTTAATTTCATTTGCCTAAAGAAATTTCTGGTTTATATGCATAAATTCCAGATTAGGGTTTCCAATTTTGGTAGTAATCTGCCCTGTTTTTGCACGGTATATTCGACCTTGAGAGAGACCGAATCAGCTCTTTCCCAAAACATAAAAGT